AGTGGTCAATGGTCACGGACTGCGCTTTCTCGGGGTTGGCATCGCTCGGTGGCGGCGCCAGTGATGATCCCGCCTTGGCACGATGGTACGCCTCCCATTTCGCCGCGCGGTCGCGCAGAATCTTCTTCTTGAGCGTCGACTTCTTCTTCTTCTTTGTCCCAACGGGACGCGGGGCGTTGGTCGTCGTCGGGTCATCTTGATGCGTCGCGCTGCCTGGAACAAACGCATTCGCGGTGGCACGCATGGCCGCCGACTTGGTCGCTGCAGTAGCAGTTGGTGGCGGCGCCTTTGCCTTGGCCTTTCTCGCAGGCTTGGCCACAAAGTCGAGGAGGTTGACCTGTCCGTTGGTCGGACGCTTGGGCGGCTGCTTGGACTTGATCGCTTTTTGTGGTGCCGATGGCACGACCTGTGTTGGCGCTGGTGGTAGCGCAAGCGGGCGAGCGTCTCGAGAGGTCTCCCATCGGCGCGCCGTCGGCGGTGCGTCGGGCAGCGTGCTAGGTCGCCGCTGGATCTGCAGCACACCAGGTTGCATCGTCGCCTGTCCGGATACAAATCAAGTATCCGCATGATTTAAAATTCATCAATTTTAGCAATAAAAATACAGCGCGCCGGCCATCTTCCTCCAAGAATGACTAAGAATGGCGACAAGCAGGAACGACAGCGCGCACAAGGACACTACGGACACGAATGAAGAGGACACTACACGATCTAAACGATGGGCCTGCACTGTCCTCCCTAATGTTGAGTGTTCACATAGAGTATCTTCACACAGCACAGCGCACCTCATATGTCCTTGCCATGACAGCGTGGGTCGACCAATGTGGCTGCGCTCCTGAAGACTGTGGGTACTTCGTTCGGGACGACTACCAAACGCTCGAGCGAAGGAACGTCCGAAATATTCTTTGGTGCTAGCAGCAGACAAGATTGCTATTGGTATAAATAGATATATAATCCTCTGAGCGCCTTTTGATGCAAGCGCCTAAATGGTTCATGGCGCCGTCTGCCCGAGTTCTTCTGTAAACTCGACAGAGTGCGTCGAGCCGCGAGCAGCGCTCTGGTCGTGCTGCGGCCTCGGTGGCTACCACCACATTGCGCCGGCCGCCTTGTGGCTCGTCTTTCTGAGCCTCACCGCGTGTGCGCAGTACCACTACAACCTCTTCCACGACCTCGACAGCACAGCCGACGAGCTTCACGACATTCAGACCCAAGGTACTACGCCTCTTCGTACTATACTATGTATATAGCAACACGGCGTAGCTCTCGGTGTCGTTGTTGCGCGTCGGAAGCGCGTCATCTTTGGCAAGTCGTACCGAGACCCGCGACGGCTGCTCATGCTCGGCGCCATGTGGAGCGAGCTCTTTGGCTTTAGCTACACACCTGGTCAGCTCGTCATCTACCAACTCACGCAGTCCAACATTGCGGGTCTCGTGTCTGGTCCTGTCCAGTTTGGCTTGTTTGCCGTTTTCTCCGGCTTGCTCTACCTGCTCGAGGGACCGCGATGGCTGCGCAAGTGCCACCTCCGTCGACCGAAACTCGGCGGCCCGATTCTCTACGACATGTTCTTCATGACGTTTGCATATACCCTCGTCAACGTGGTCGGCTGCACAAACGGTCTTGACTCGGTGGCACTGGGCGACAACGTTACGTGCGCCAGTCCCGAGCGCTACTGGATGGTCTGCAGTCTCGGCCTCGTCGTCTTTGGGTGCTTCTTCTGGGGTTGAGTTTATGCTTTTGATTTTGATTTTTGATTTTTCACATTTCTGGAATGAACTAGGAACGCTCAAGTACAAGAAGCAGCTCGCGAGTGATGTGTACGCGGTGAGCTTTCGCTTCCAAGCGTCGTTTGATGCTATGATGACGTGCACGCGGACGAGTACGAAGCAGTTCTCACTCATCCAGACCATTTGTATTGTACTGGGTAGTCTGCGCCTTGACCGTCATTACCGTCGAGAAAGCGCTTCTCGTGCTTGACATGTGGCTCGTCGCCGTGCTTTTCGGTCTTCTGAATCTGGTTCATTTTGGCGCACTGCTTCGCTACAACTACAAGTGCCAGCCCGTACGTCTCTCCTCGCCACTCGAGCCACTTGTCACTCGGACGATATGTAGTGCCTCGGCGTTGGGCTCGTTCCCAACAACTTGCGTGCGCTGTCGTTTGCCACGTCTTGCTACACGACGCTAGTGTCGCTCGTGATTTCAATGCTGCAAATCGCGCGGCATCCCGCCGAGGCGGGCACCGCCGAGTGGACAGTTTTCTTCGTCGCCATTGGACTCTACCCCGCAGTTGCAGTCACTGTGTGGCGCTGGAACCGCCGCCGCGCAGTGCTCTTTCAAGTGCCCAATCTCAGCCTCCTTGACGCGCTACAGCACGAGAGCGACCGCGTCCGAGCCATCGCGGCCGTGACCGTCACGCTCGAGACCGCCGAGCGCGACGCCGACACGCTTCAGGCGATTTTGCTTGCGCTCAATGACACTTTGTGGCCGCCCGAGGCGGTGTTTGCGCCGGCGTATGCGTGCCAAGCCATGTGGTTCCTCTGGTACTCCAACTTTGATCTGGTCGACCACGTCTCGGAAACTGGTGCAAGCGCATTTGTACCCTTTGGGTGCTGGGTGCGCTTGTCGCCAGCGCGAACTTGCGCTGGGGGAACAATCAGTAGCGCCTTCCGCATCAGTCTCTCGCAAGTGCTGGCAGGGCGGTCTGCATCGGGCCGTCTCAGCATCTCGAATTCATCTCTTGTCGCGCCCGTGGATTTAAGCCGACGGTCTCGGAATCGGCCCTCGCCGGTCGACAGTTCTTCCCTTGTTCAGCTCGTCGAGAAGGCGACGGACCTCGAGCATACCGTGTGCATGACGAATCGAATTGCTGACAACCCTGCAATTCGGTCTTGCTTTGAGCACGCGGTCAAGAAACTCGCCGAGCTCTGCAAGTGCAACTGCCGACGCAACCGGCTCCTCGCGAGCAAGGTGCTTCAGGAAATGTACCAAGCAAGCGTCGTCCGGGTGAGTGCGACCACTTTTTTGCACATGGCAGCGAATCTCACCATCGCCCCGTCACACGCCAAAGCCATGTCGGCGCTTCGAACCCTGGTGCGGTTTGTCAACGACCGCGATGAGATTTGGGCGGCCCGCCAAGTCGCCAACGTCGTGACGTTGCGTCTTCTCATTGACGCTCTTCTCGTTCACGTTGGCGATATCGACTTTGTGACTACGCTGCTAACGTTTCTGATTGATCGTCTCGAGACGCTTTTGAGCCTCGGCACCAACGCTCCAAGCGGCGAGGCGTACTTGGATCGGTCCATGGTCTCGACTCTGCACGAGCTTTTCGTGGACGTGCCGTCGGGCGCGACGCAGGCGCTCATCGATGACCTCTTGATGACGATGCAAGATGTGTGGAACACCCGCCCGTACAGACCACCGGGCGTCATGCGCCAGCTCTCCAAGACACGCATCATGCGCCAGCTCTCCAAGACACACGTTTTGCCGACGGCCATGACGCGGCTATCGGAATCGTCGCAAGCGCTCTTGAGTTTTTCGCAGCTCAAGGTGATTAAAGACCGCCAGCGCGCGCGCATGGATGCGTGGGCCGCTGTCAACGCAGTGCTCGCCGAGGGGTTTTCGATGCAGCTGCCACTTGCCGCGCTGGCGCCACCGACGCAGCTGATTGTGGCGTCGCTTCTCGAGCTTTTGAGCACGCGCAGTGATTTGCTCTCGTACTTGGAGAGCCGCATGACGATGCCTGAGTACTGGTACCTCAGTGATCTCGTTGGGAAATCGCGACCGCGGATCGCGATCGAGTCGACGCACTGCGCAGAGTCGACGTAAAGCAATTTTTGAGCAAATTCAACTGATATATTTTCGAAACCAAAAGCGCAAAACGTGCAGTTTCGTTTCATTTGGATTTAGCAGCGCAGCGTACCCGCCACGCCCTAGTAGTACAATGCGAGGGGCCTCGAGCGCAGAGTGTGATCCGACCTGCACCTGTCCTCTCAGATGCAATCGTACGCTTACTATCACAACGTGGTCGTGCTGTGGCTACAGTGCTTACCACCACGTGTCGCCCAGTGTGCTCTGGTTTCTCTTTCTCACTCTCACAATCGTTGCGCATCGCCGGCACAGCCTTTTTACCGATTTTTGCCGCTCGGCGAACGAGCTCCACGATATTCAGACCCAAGGTTCGTGCTAAACTTGTCACCATGTTACTTTCTCCTTTGGTGCGTAGCGCTCGGCGTCGTCGTTGCCCGTCGCAAGCGCATCATCTTTGGAAAGCTTCGGAGCGACCCAAAGCGGCTCCTCATGCTGGGGGCCATGTGGGCAGAGCTCGGCGGCTTTAGTTACAGCGCCATCCAGCTCCTGCTATACCAGCTCCGCGACAACTCGTTCTACGGACAGGCAAATGGCAAGTGGCGGCTCGCGACTTTTGTGGTGCTCTCGCTCGTGCTCGGTTTCGTCGAAGGTCTTCCCGCCGGACGCTACACCCGTCGCTTCCGCCCTTGGCGGGACAAGATCGGCTCGCCATTTCTGTACGACACGGTCTTTATGACCTTTATGTACGCCATCATTGACGTCACCGGCTGCAGCAACAACCTCGACGAGGTGTCGTTTGGCGGGCAGTCGTGCGCCAACCCATCGCTCTACTGGATCTTCTTCGGCCTCGGCATTACGGTCTTTAGCGTGTTTTTCTGGGGTACATATTCGCTGGGTAGTTTACCGGGGCCCAGAACTTGTATATAGGAACGCTTTTGTACAAGAAGCGACTAGCGGACGACGTGTATGCCGTGCGCTTTCGGTTCCAAACAGCGTTTAACGCACTCATGACGTGTACGCGAACAGGTTAAATGCATGGCACAAGTCCATCCATGTATGATGGTCTTTTGTAGCGTGTGCACTGGGCTTTTACACGATCGAGAAGGCGCTCTTGGTGTTCGATGCGTGGATGGTCATTTTCGGCTTTAGCGCCATCAACTTGATCCTCTTTGGCTCGCTTCTGTGCTACAATTACCGATGCCAGCCCGTACAATACTGTACACTTGCGATATGTCTCGTCTAACGACTGTTTTAGTGTCTTGGTGTCGGGTACTTTCCCAACAACCTCCGCGCGCTCTCGTTTGGCACGTCGTGCTATACGACACTCGTGCTCTGCCTCGTGACGCTGCTCGGACACTGGACGGCCAACCAAAAGCTCACACTCGTCGTCGTCCAAATCTCGGCGGGGCTGTACCCGCTTATCGCGGTCGGCCTCTGGCGTTGGAACAGTCGGCGCGCCAAGGACTACGAAGTGCCCAACCTTGATCTTCTGGCGTCGCTTTCCCACGACTGCGTCCGCGTCCGGGCCATCGCTGCTGTGAGCGTCACCCTTGAAAACGATGCGCGTTGCGACACCGAGATCCAAGCGATTGTCGCGAGGCTCAGCGCCATACTCACCTATCCCATGCACCACGAGACGGCGTATGCCATCGCGTACGCGTGCCAAGCTCTGTGGTTTCTTTGGTACCGCAATTTTGATTTAAGGGATCAGATTCTCGAAGCGACGTCGGACCCGCTGTGGCCCCCCGGGCGTTGGGCTCCCGAGCCACGCGACTGCTCGTCCCACGCGGCAAAGACCAGCCTGACACAACCAGCAACGTTGGTCCCGAAAACGTTCTGGCAGCGCCGCCACGTACCGTCGCTTGCAACGATGGACTCGGCGCTCGTCCGCCTCGTCGAGAAGGCGACCGACATGGACCACACAGTGTGCGCCACGAACCGCATTGCAGACGCCCCCGCCGTGCACCAGTGCTTTGAAGACGCCGTACAGAAGCTCATCGAGTTGCTGTATGCACCGTGTTTCCACGCGCGGCGCATTGCGGCCAAGACCCTTCAAGAGATGTACGACGCGGGCGCGATTCAAGTCCGAAAAGCAACGTTCTTCCGAATGGCCGTCACGCTCGTGGCCGTGCCCGTACACAGCCGCGCAGTCGCCGCCGCACGGACCCTCGTCTCGTTTGTATCGACGCAAGAAGCGACGTGGGTGGCGACGGCGATGGCTGACAAGATGACGTTGGTTCTGGTCGCGGAAGCGCTCGTGCAGCGGGTGTTCGATATCGAGTTTCTACGCTCGGTGACCCATGTGCTCGCCACCGCCATGTCAACGCTGGCCACGATGCCAACGCTACCTCCGGCGACGTATCTCTCTCTGCCGATGGTCTCGGCTCTGCTTTCGCTTCAAGACATGTCAGTGCCACCTATAGTCGCGGCCCAAGTCGATTCCATTCTCGCCACAATACACGTATGCTGCCATGGGGCGACCGTGACGCGCCGTGGGTCCAACGCCTGGCGCGTCACTCCCGTCGATAAGGACGTGATGGCATCGACCGAAACGGTACTTTTGACACCAGGGCAAGTGGCGGCCGTGCTCGAGCGGCAGCGGCTGCGGCACAAACTCCTCGCAGTTGCGACAGCTCTTATTGACGAGGGATTCGGACAACAACGGGCGATACTGGAGCTCACGCCGTTGACGCGCGCGACAGTGGAGGCGACGTTTCCGAAAGGCTGTCCACCGCCAAAGATACTCGGATACGTTGAGAGCCAAGTGTCTCCAGCTGCCTTTGCATACGTCTGTCGCATTGCGCAGCTGGAGCCGCCAGGTCCTCGCTCCGCCTCGCTGACGCATCTCGAGTCGCTGGCCCGTATCCGGCCCATGGCCATCAATGCCAACGTCGATGAGAAGGGCAGTGTACAGTGCTCTGGCTGGAGCTAATGAGCACGATGATAAACATAACGAGAACATGAATCCGCTGGTTCTAATGACGGTTGCTGGCTCATCGCATACGGTGATTTCCGCCCAACACAACGAAGTGCAGCAAGACCAGAACCGACACGACACACTATTGTCCATGTAGTAACGCGTGGCAGAAATAGCTCACGTCATTGGCTTTAAATAACAGAACCGCCCTTTCTGGCGCTCAACCGCTTGAGAGAGCGTCGACGATGGCGCTGTGGAATGGCTCGACGCCATGCGACGACGCCGCGTGCTTGTCGGCGCTGTGCGTCTCGCGTGCGACTGGTGTCAACTGGACATCTCTCTGCGCCGTGGCGCACAGCGGCACGTGGGCTTGCTGCGGCCATACAAGATACAATCACGTGTTCCCGATCGCGCTCTGGCTGAGCTTTGGATGTGTTACGGTCTGGTGCCACTTGCGCACGGGCCTCTTTGGCGACCTCGTACTTGGCGTCCATACACTCCACGACATTCGAACACAAGGTACTAGGCACATGGTGTATCAGCCCGTCGTTCAACGATGCCTTTCTTTAGCGCTTGGAGTCGTTGTGGCGCGCCAGAAACGTGTCATTTTTGGCAAAGTGCGTCGGGACCCGCGCCGCGTTCTCCTCCTCATCTCCATGGCGTACGAGGTCGTGGGCTTTAGCTACATTCCTGGCCAGCTCCTTTTGTATCAATTCTTCAACAGCGGGGCGTTCGTGGGCCAATTCTCTGGCGAGCTGCAGTGGGCCAAGTGCATTCTGGGAACGACACTGTTCGTGGTGCTCGAAGTATGGCCGCCGCGCTGCTGGCCGCGGTCGTGGACCAGCGCCCGGGATAAGCTCCTTGCACCACTGCTCTACGATCTATGTTACACAACAGTGCTGTACGGTGTCGTCGATGTCGGTGGCTGTTGGAACGGCGCCGACGACATCCTACTACCGGACGGCACGAATTGCGCCGACGCCTCTCGGTTTTGGCTCTTTCCGACGTTTGGCACCCTGCTTTTTATCGCCTTTTACTACGGTATGCACTCGCTTTTGTCGCAACTTAGTCGATTTCGAAGTAGGCACGCTCGAGTACAAGCGGCGGCTCAGCGATGATATCTTCTCCGTTCAGTTCCGCTACCATGCGTCGTTCAACGGTGTCATGATCGTCGTGCGCACCGGTAATAGATGCACCCACGCTGTTGATCTGGCTCAAACGAAGACTGGGGTCTAGCGGGGGTCCTCGGTTTTTACGCCGTCGAGAAAGGACTGCTCGAGCTCGATGCGCTCGTCGTGTCGGTCAGCGTCAGTATCGTGCACGTGTTCTTCTTTGCCACGTTGCTCTACTACAACTACACCCATCAGCCTGTAACCCACGCGATCCTAAAGTGCCTCTTAACACGGTGGTCAGTGTTTAGGAGTCGGGTACCTCCCGAACAATTTGCGCAGTCTCTCGTTCGCGAGCGCTTGCTACTCGGGCGCGCTCTTGCTTGTCGTCTCGGCCATGCAGCTGAGTGCGGGCCGGCACGCGTGGACAGCATACGAAACCATTCTCGCAAGCGTCGCGACCATCTTGTATGCGCCGCTGGCTCTTCTCGTGTGGCGCTGGAACCGCGCCGCTGCGCTGCGCTATCAAGTGCCCAACGCACCACTTTTGGAATTGCTGCGACACGGCAACCTCCGCGTGCGCGCCGTCGCCGCCGTCAGCATGGTCCTCGAAGACGTCGTTCTCGACCCGGTGGAAATTCGTGCTCAAATACTCGCGTTGCATGCGACGTTGCAAGCTGCGCCCCACGCCGAGGACGGGTGCGTCGCAGCGTACTCATGTCAAGCGCTATGGCACTTGTGGCGCCATCGGTTCGAGCGCAACAAGCCTTTTCTCGAGACGCCGAAACGACCGACGGCGTGCTGGAAGTTTGGGTGCTGGGCGCACAGCCGCGAGTCGGGCCCAAACTTGGCTCTTCTCGAGCCAACGCCGCACGCCTTGGCGTCCGCCGCCACGTCCCGAATGTCTACGCGTCGAAGCTCCAACGTCCGCGTCGCGCGGTTTTCCATCGTGGGCTCGCGAGGCATAAGTCTCGGGCGCCTCGCCGAGCAGCAGACGTGTCGCAACGGCATCATGAGTATTTTCGCACCCGTTGCCTTTGACGCAGGCATGCACCGGTGTGCAACCCACGCAATCGATACGCTCACGTCACTCGTCCGGAGCCGGTACGCCAAAGCGCGCTTCATCGCTGCCAAGGTTCTTCTCGAAATGTACAAGTGCCGCGTGCTCCAGCTGACGAGAGACTCGGTCGCGTTCGTCGCCATCACGCGGCTCGTGTCGTCGCCTCGCCTCGCGGATGCCGACGCTGCGGCCGAGACGCTGCGACGGCTCATGAACGAAGGCGACGGCGCTGAGCGCAAGCGGCTTTTGCTGGTGGCGTTCACCGACCACCTCAACGTGCTGCACGTGACACAAGCCATGGCCACGACTGAATGGGATATTGAAATCAGCGTCATGCTGCTGCAGCTACTCACCGATGCACTCACGCTGTGCATGGTCCACGACACACCAAGCTCCGATATTGTTGTGCCGCCGCCCGACCGGTTCCTCAGCAAGGCCGCGGTCGAGTACCTCGTCCAGCTACAAAGTTGCTGGAAAGAGCACCGCGTGTTCGGCATGGTCGATAATGTCCTCGTTCTCATGCGGCAGTGCTGCGAGCATCATGCGATGAAACGCCAGTCGGCCTCCAGCGCTGTGCTGCCGGAACCGTGCGAAAACACTCTCATGGGGACGCGCGAGTACAACGCTGTGCTTGAGCGCCACCGCACGCGCGTAAGCGTGCTCACATCCGTCCAGTGGGTCCTCGCAGAAGGGTATCCGAGCCAGATGCGGCTTAACGAGCTCTCGCCCAATACGCGGCTCGCCCTCGAGGGTGTCGCGTCGCTCATCGCGTTGGGCGATAACGACCTCGTGGCCTACTTGGAGAGCAACCTCTCCGAGCCGCAGCGATGGTACCTCGGGGGCCTCCTCGGGTCGGTTGTCTATCAAACGCATGACGACAAACCTCCATCATAATGTGATCCAACACTGATGGTGATGCCTTTCAACGTGCGTTATCCGAATTCTTATCCGGACAATGCGCTGTGACCGAGAATGGTGGCAGACCGGGGCCGACGTTGAAGAAAAATTTGGAGCGTCTCATTTCAATATCGTCGTATTGTACATCGTTTGGGGACTCCAAAAACCCAACTATGGTGGTCAGTACGTTCATGTAGCGTGCAATAATCGACATTTAAATAGTTGATACTTACTTGATACTGTACCGTATTTGTATACGTTATTGTATTGTATCAAGTAGGTATC